CCCCCCCCGCCCGGGGCCCCCCGGCGGCCCCATCAGCTTCAAGTCTCCGGCTGAAATCGTCCAGGAGGCGCTGCTGAGCAGCGGGGAGGGGGTCCCGCCGCAGCCCCCCACCACCGCTGGGCTGCCGCAGGAGTTCAGGTCCCCCAGGCAAGCCACCGAGCTGGTGCAGCAGCTCCAGGTAACGCCCAGCTCCCCCAGTTCAGCCAGAGGGACCTTACTGGGTCTCCAGGGTGGGGGGACCAGGGGGTGCAGGTGAAATGGAGATGTCTCCAGCCCCATGAGCTGGCCCTGTGTCACCAATGGGGGGTTTGGTGCTGGTCACCTTTTCCCAGTCCTGCACAGGGGCTGTTGAGGAGGGAAGGACCAGGCAGGGATGCAGGCAGTGCTCAGCGCTGGTGGCAGCGATGCTTGTGTTCCCCCCAGGATGCTTGTGCACACCCACCCCACCCCCCCCAATGCCCATCCCCTGCAGGATGCTTGTCCCCTGGGATGCTCTCCTGTCCACGAGGAGGAGAGGGAGGCTCTCCCCCAGGCAGAGAAACGGGGGCCACATCTGCGCCACATGGGCCGGGTGCTTTGGGGAGTGGGTTTCTGCACCCCAGGGTGTCCCCCACCCATAGGAGCCCCCCCCAGCCCTGTCATCCCCACACAGGGATGCCCCCCACCCACCTCCCTTTGCCACCCACCCATTGGGCATCCTTTGAGCCCCTGTCCCGGTGGCTGGGTGCCATCACCCTCTGCGTGTCCCCTCCCCGCAGGATGACTACCGCAAGCTGCTGATGAAGTACGCTGAGGCCGAGAACACCATCGACCAGCTACGCCTGGGTGCCAGGGTGGGTGCTGGGGCAGGGAGGGCTGCAGAGGGGGCTCCCCACTCTGCTCCCACCTCCCCAGGGTTATTTGGGGTGTCCTCCTCCTCTGGCCCTGCTCTTCCTCCTCCTCTGGCCCTGCTCTTCCTCCTCCCGGGGAGCTGCGGTTGAGTAAGCCCAGCCCAGGGAGGGGGGGTGAAGCTGCTGCAGTGCCCGCAGCAGCGCTGGGGACAGCCGTGCCCCCCCAACCCAGTGGGCTCCCTTCCGCTCCAAGGAGGTGGCTGTGCCGAAAGGGCCCCGAAATGGCGGGGGGGGGGCGCGGGCGGCGCCACAAA